TACTACTACTACTGCACTACTACTACTACTACTACTACTGCTGCTGCTGCTACTACTACTGCTACTTCTACTACTACAACTACTACTACTACTACTACTACCACTACTACTACTACTACCACTACCACTACTACTACTACTACCACCACTACTACTACTACTACTACTGCTACTACTACTACTACTACTACTACTACTGCTACTACTACTACTGCTACTACTACTATACTACTACTACTATACTACTTCTACTGCTACTATACTACTACTGCTACTGCTACTACTACTGCTACTACATCCTACTACTACTGCTACTACTACAACCACTACTACTACGACTGCCACCCCCTACTACTACTACTACCTTAGCTTTAACTGTGTGATATGTACATTGGATTATATGTCCTTTTTTAAATGACACACTTGGACAAATTCTCGGCCGGACTAATGCCACCGATTAGTATGGATTCCACACTCAGACGCAGTCTACTGACTTCGAGGCGACGCTTCCTGGTTTTATTAACCTAATGCCGAGCGCCAGGTAGCAACAAAGGTCTATAGGTATGACGCGGTCGGGATCGAACCACCGAGCTGAGGCTATACTGGCAGACGCACTATCCACTAGACCACGAAGATAATGATATCTCACTCTGACAGAATGTTTGGCATACAGAACGTCCGTGTGCGTTCCGTATTGTGTCTCGACAGTGCTGAAGTATGCCTAGCTTCCTCAACGCTTGCGATGTGACTATAAATCTTAACTCACTCGCTCACTCACTCCTTAACGCTTGTGTGCGCCATTCTGATGTACTTGTAACTGTATATTTACTCTTGGTCTTGACGGCCTTGACGGAACTAACGTGATTGAGATGAACCAATGTACCTTAATGCAATACTGACACACTACATCACACTATATTCACAGACGTGCCCTGCATCTTAAACCTGTTCTATTATAAGATCAGCGAGTACTTAAACAGGAAATCCTACACCCGTGTTAAATCTTCACACCACATTTAACCTGTTCCCATGACATACAACTCCCGTTGTGATGCGACGCTATCTGTACGCTGGGGGCACCCTCGGTTTCAATACCCTTGAGGCATTGACGCTCACGACGTCTGGCAAGATCAATTATGACGTTTTGAATACACTTCAAAACCAATTCAGTACCTTTCAAACATGCCTCGGCAAATAGAAAACGTGTACTGTTTAAAAAAGCATGTTTACAACTATGTGTTTTTGGTGTCCCGATGTTGCTGTTTTGAATTCGTCATGTTACGCCAACTTGGTTTCGTCACGCATGGCCGCGTCACCAGGCACCCTCCATGAGTACACACTGACCTTCATGAACCTCGGGTATTGATGACACTGTAGAAGAAAGCCTGGAGGGAAATATGGCTCTTTTGAAGCGTGTTACGTCAGATCATGGGTAACAGTCTGGTAATTAGATATTGAGTCGCTCAAACAACAATTTCTAATTTGCTATGGGTATGTTACACCAGGGAGACTATGTAACTACTGTAGAGTATCCCTGGTTACACGTACGCTACACAGAATCTATGTCGTGTCAATGATGGCGTCCTGGGCATCGTTCCACAAAGCAGTCTCAGCATTAAGACTGTTCTAGTATTATTTTCCCTACCGCCTAGCCCACCCTGCAATGCTAAAGCGCTCAATTAAGCAAGTCTAGATTTCCCCTGAATTTCTGGTCTCCCAGGGGCTTCTTTTCAATTTAAATGGGTTTATATGTTACAATCAAAATTATATATATTCAGAGACTAAGCGTTAGTCTACGACTGTTCTAGCGGCTGTCAAATCTTCAAGTCAATGGGGTTCGAATCATTGATGTTCTAATTCGAGTTCGGATGCCTTGTCCGTGTGACCAATGAAGTAAACCTAGACTAACCCTTTGTCTCTGAATATATAATTTTGATAGTAACAAAAAAAACAATTTAAATTGAAAAGGAGACCCGGTGAGTTGGGAGATTCAGAACCTGAGGATATCTAGACTTTCTTCCTTTAGGGCTTTAGCATTGCCGAGAGAGCTAGGCAGTAGGGAAAATAGTGTGGTGCAAGGACTGTGAGACATATTAGGATTGGTCCTGTCAGCAAGCTGGCAAGGTAAGGATATCGTGATTTAGATGATGACTCCACGCTACAGTAGCTACATTAGCCAAGACTGGAGCTAAACGCTAAGATGGTTTAAATTTGTGGACATGGGGCGTTCAACTAAGGAGCTTTAGCGTTAACATACATTGTTACCAGAGTTGGAGCGCTAACATCGTTTCGTAGAACCTGCTGGTGTTTTGTCTTCACGCATATACAATAATTTGTCCACTTTATCGAGTGTGAACTGTATATGCAGGTTGATATCTGTGAATTGTTTGTCTTGAGTGCAAGGATTTTAGGAGGCGGTGCCTATAAACTGAAGCGATAACCTGCGGGATAAAGTTAAGCCGTTTATCTGGGGGGATGAGGGTCGTAGTGCACCCGTGGCCCACCCCGGAACAAACACTGGTAATCGTGTGACGAGTGTTGAGGGTCGATGGGGATTATTTGAGGGTGGGGCAAGCGCTTCACTGTGTTGTAAGAGTCTCTCTGTAATTGCATAGTTTAGGTGGGGAGAAGTAGGAGATTCTCTTTGTGATCAGTCACAGGTGCGTGTAAGGGATGGGTAGAGATGTGGCCTGGGTATGCTACACTTACCTGTTAGGGAGGGGTAGGGACGTGGCCTTGGTAGGATACAGTTACCTGTGAGGGGTGTGTAGAGATATGGCCTGGTCGGGTAGACTCAGTTGCTTGTCAGGGGTGGGAGAAGTGCAAGTCCGAGGTCGGAAGAAATGCATGTCAGGGGTGGGTACTACAAGTGCGTGTTAGGGGTGAACAGAGGTCAGGGTTTGGAGGCGAGACCCTGACATCGGAAGACTTACTACTGCAACAGAAGACATAATCCAGGCAACAAATGCTAATCCGGGTACCTTTGTATGGCGGATACTGAGCGACTCGGCTCTCGTACAAGGCAGCTCTCCCCACACAAAGGAAACTAATCGGAGATATAGTTTGTCACTCAGGGCGTGACATGCATACATGCATAGTACATGAGCCGTGGTTATTTACTATCTCAAATGGCAGGCTCACTACGACAGTTTCAGTCTCTTGCACATTCTCACCGGAAGTAACGGCACAGCTTACAGGGTTACCTTAACCAGGCGAGATTGCATCAGCATTTCAAGACGTTGTCTGGAAATACACTCCTATAAATAATATATCCTCATACCAACGTCAGATTGGTATTCTTTTAACCTTCTATGTCGAACAGTGCTGGAAGGTTTTCAGATGTAAAGCAAACGGACATCATGGAAATACGTGCTGATCAATTTTGATGAAGGAAGTAGAATCAGCGATTGTCTGTGCTTAAGGAAGACACACACACGCACATGCACGCGCGCTCTCAGTCACGTACTCAGTCAGTCACTCTCAACCCCAACCCCAACCCCAACCCCAACCCCAACCAAACACTCACTCATAGTTAAATAGTGTGGTTCGAATCCCGGGTGGAACTCAGCCCCCAGTAGTACTAGAATCTGTACTTATAGCTGACACAGTATAATACAGATATAGCATATGTTACATGGTTAATCAATTACATTTTGAAATTAAGTTAAGTTAAATCTCATCACGGATCAGTGAATACAAGGTGAGGAACAGCTTCTCACTGGGTACAACATCGTCTTCCCGAACTCAACCTTCACAACCAGATAGCGCCGACTGCCCGCGGTGTTCCGATCGTAATGGTCTCAACCTTGTGATCTTCGCTCTAAATCTCACGGGGAGCCGTGGTCGAGCGATACATTCACGCAACAGGCAGCACCCGTGACCTTCACCTTCTGTGTTCCCATGTCGTAAAAGTCTGTCATCCGTCCAAGGTCATATCTTAATCTGCATTGTGTCTCGCGTGTTCAGGCTTGACTAACAAGTTTATATTTTTAACTGTTCATACCTGGCATGCAAGACGTGACGCGTCTACAATCCACGAACACAGCTCCCCGCTTTTTACTGAGACAACATATTCGTACGTTTATCACGGCTCGAATGGACATTATTTGGCATTTCGGAACACTGTGGTTTATAAACCAGATCATAGTCATGAGATACAGTACAAAACCCACTTGTTAACAGGACACTAACAGGTCCCCAGCAACCTATGTATGTCGCATGGTGGTTCCAGGGGCGGATACCGCTTTTTGAGAAAGGGGGGGTGCACACTATTGAGAAAAGGAGGGGTGCACACTCCATTTTCAGCTGACTTTCAATGGTCATTTAACAAACTTTCAGCACATAACGGGGGGTGCGCACCCCTGCCCCCCCCCCGATCCGCCTGTGGGTACTAGTGTTAGCTTATTACTCTCGAAGGAGGGGCGGTGGGATAGCCGAGTGGTTAAAGGGTTCGCTTCTCACGCCGAAGACCCAGGTTCGATTTCCCTAATGGGTATAATGCCTGAAGCTCATTTCTGGTGTTCCCCGACGTGATATTGCCGGAATAATGCTAAAAGCGGCGTAAAACCCAACTCACTCACTACTCTCGAAGGACCGGGTTCGGCGTTAAACCATACGCACTAGTAGGAATATAATGAAGATCGGATGGTCACAGGCAATGCTCAATCTCTACTTTCTCTATCACAGACCGAAACCCGTTGCTGGTGTCTCCCGCTAGAACGTTACTAACCTCACACTCGTTCACTGTGTCAGTACAGACATTCCTCAGATTATCGCTGCCTGAGGCATAAAACAGCATTCACTTACGTTATACCAGAACACACCTCCCGTTTTAGGAATGTATATTTCAGAGAATGTTTAGGATGTTTTGAATTATTTACTGCCAGGGCTTTATCAGAGCATATCGGTTGCCTACATTTCCTCCACGCAATCGCTCTGGAGTAGAGGAACCGGTGCAGACCGAGTATTTTGCATTACACCTGTGAAGCTCGTTGAGGCCGCCTATATGTGTTCAGATTTACGGTTTTAACAGCTCTTATCCAATGCACCGCCATTCAGCTGAACAAGGCGACATGCATGGAGTGTTACTACGCATCTTTTAGTCACGGCTCAATACCTCTACAAATACCTCCCGTAAACAACAGCCCAGGTTCTGCTGACCTAGTTGTGGAAATACTTGCATAGTAGCGTTAATATGAGGGGCTGACACATGTAGAATACACCAGGAGGAAGTCTGGATCACAGTGAGTATACACTATCTGTATACAATATGCAGTTTGCTGTGTTCACTGTTGCAGTTGTAGATATACACATTGATGCTGAATGCATCACGGGGCTGGGCAATGTACAGTGTAGATTATAGAACTCGGTGTATCTGAATGACGGTATGCCTGACACATCGGCGTATGGTTAAACCTATCTTGTCTAATGGCGAGCGATACAAGACAGCGACACTCGCTGAAATGAGGAATTCCTGATCACGGAAACGAAGTAATGGATTTGTAACACAATGCTATGGTTTTGTAAAACAATGCTATACCTCTGAAGAACCTATTATTTATACTATGTATACCTGTCAATCATTTAAACTATAAAATGTCTAACCAACAGATATTATAGAAGTACATTTTTTAAAAGAGGGGTAGAGTGGCCTAGTTGTTAATGCGTTGGCTCGCCACATGGAGGTCCGGGTTTGATACCCACATGGGTACAATATGTGAAGTTCATCTTCTAAGAGATCTTGCTTGGATATTTCTCAAAGCGGCTTAAAACCACATCCACTCTATCATGTTCCCCCTGATCATAAAAGACGTTATATTTAATAGTGAGAGTTCTGCATGGCCTACTTAAATGTAGAGACGCTATATTGGTACAACGTGTGAAGCCCATTTCTGATGTCCCCCGCCGTGATATTGCTGGAATATTGCTACAAGAGGCGTGAAACTAAAACTCACGATGTTTTCCCAAATCGCCTGCTTGAATTACTTCTTCCAACAAATCATATCAGTTTTAAACACTGGGCACCTGTCGACTCGAACAAGTCCGTGCATTCTTAGCACAACTCATATGCAATTTGTACAGGGCTGTACTTGAATATGATTGCTGGTGAGGTCTATCGGGAGAAAATGGAATGTGTCAGTTTTGCTTTCGGGCGAAATAGAAGATAGATATCATTGTTTACTGACTTGTCTGTTTACTGCAACAAGATATCATTGTTTACTGACTTGTCTGTTTACTGCAACATACTGCTGTGGAAATAAACATGGTGGCCTCGTAAATCAGTCATCCTGTGTGTTATGAAACTTGCAGTGCCTGCCAACCACACACGTAAGGATATCCAAACTGACCCCAATTACAGGTACCTTCTTGTCCTGTTGTAATGGGGGTTAGTCGAGTGGTTCGAGTTCGTTCACTCGGCGGAATACCAGTTCGATTCTTCACATGCGTACGATGTTTGCGCATTTCTAATGTCTCCCTTCTTAATTGTGCTGGAAGCGGCGTAAAATAGTACTCATTCCTTGTATGTGATTCGGCCCAGCATTGAGACTGTCGTGTGTAACTTAACTGAACGGTGGTGATGTAGGGTCCTCAATGGTTGGTTGGTGTTTAACGCTGCACTCAGAAATATTCCGGCTATATGGCGGCGGTCTGTACATAATAGAATCAGACAATCCAGTGATCAACAGCATGAGCACCGTTCCACGCGACTGAGATACGATGACATGTGTCAACCAAGTCAGGGGGTAAGAGAGATGACCCAGATAGCATTCAGACGTTGGCCCAACGTTGACAATGGTTTTGCCAACATTGCCAATGTTGGGCCAACGTCCGAATGCTATCTGGGGGGATGATGGACAAATCAATTCATATTTTAACAAAACAGAGGCATTATTACTAGGGCCCGTGTGTGATTTTCAAAATCCGTCAATTTTTTTTTTTATTATTCATTTATTTGGTCGAGATGTTTATTGATGTTAACAATTCACCAATTACCAAGGTGATGCGTTGTTAACATACAATACCGCAGATATCTGCGTCACTTCTCTTAATTCTGCTCATCTTTTTAAACTAATATGTCATGGAACTTTGGTATTCATATTTCAAACACACCTTATACAAATTTGATATGAAGACTGAAATAACATTACCTGTAATTCTCTTATGTGTATGTGTACATGTCTGGTTCGACAGAAGGGTTCTGCATGGACGCCACATATAATGCAAGGGAGGTAACTCGCAATGTTTCCTTCACGCTGAAGCCATTCTCTCCGCGCTGAATCCGATGGTTCGATTCGGGGAAAAATATTTTTGTACAGTTGAAAAAGCCCACCTAAAACGATACTTTTCTTTAGTTACATTTTACTTTTACTGACACGTGAATGATCCAAAACTGTGTACTCGCCTTTCCGTACCTTATTTAATATGTGATCAATTATTTATTTGTTTACAGATAATCACAATGGGTGGGTGTGCATCTAAAAACAAACAACCAAAGGAAGAGGCCTACAAGCCGGCTAATGCTCCGTCCAGTCAGCCGGAGTTTGAGGAGATCGTACCGGAAGTAAAAGCGGACGTTGCAGCAAGCAAGCCCCTGTTGAGGGCTAACGGGTCGGCTTCAGCGGCTGACGGCGACAAACGGGGTGGGTATTGCAGTAACATCCAACTCGGCCGCTTGTATTTACTTAATAGCAGAAGCAGCCCAGTCATCCCCGCAGTTCGCTGTGCAGAGTTACGTCCCTTAGGCGTGCCAGAAACCAACGATAGTGGGTTCGAATCCAAACCCTGATTTTTCCAGGAGTGTGAATACCATACGCATGTTGGTAGGTTTACCAGAAGATGTTTTAAGATCTGCATCGATTCGGGTTTCCCTGACCCGTGAAGGTCCAGGTTAGAATGAATCTTCAGTAACCCATGCTGGTCGTAAGAGGCGATTGCTTGTGATTGCACAACTAAATCTGATTGCAACCAATCACGAATCCTGAACACTCGCAATATGAAAGTGACGTACTAGAACAAAGGTTCGTGGGAAGATATGACAAGTAACCTCTATGGGAAGAGAATGGTAACTGAAGTGCATACAGGTTAAATATAATAACCAAAGGGTAACAATTCAATTCTGAATTCGCGCCTGTATAATTGGTAATTGAACAGATTGTCCAGGCCCTGCAGTGCGGATTTCGCGGGTACATACCCCAGTGGAGACACGCATTTACGTCTCAGGTTTCTGTCATCATAGTGAATGATTGAAAAAGTGATATTCCGTCATTGATAATACAACAAATTAAATATGCAATGCACGACCAAAGACAAAAAGCTGTTGCTTAAGATCATATCTATTCCTTAAGTGAGTTGAAATACGGAACGACTTTCTGCGTACATACAAGAATATATCCAGGTCTGACGTCAGTCAGCGCTACACTCACGAGGACAATGTTATTGTTGTCCAACTTGTTAACTTACCACGGTCGACTGAACTTCATTGGGATTGCAGTGGCTTGAGAAGCTGGACATGTTTATTTGGTCGTCGCTGCTGATCTCTCTCCATTATAAAGCAATGCTGTATTGACGAGCTACACGTTATGGGACCCGCCCTTTAACAGCTATTGTCAGTACATTGTTCTGTTACAGTACACGGACAAATGGAAACATGCGCTGATCAGTCTCTCGTGTCCTTCAGTACTGGCTGATGTGATCGGTACAATACAGTCCAAGTTATGTCTCATTAAGTTGAGATTCTGGAAAACATTAAGTCAATCGTTCAGTATCTCTAGTGTCGTTTAGGTGAACATTAATTCACGTGTTTTGATTCTCTATGGCAGTACATAGCGACAACATGCCACGTCTTAGCTGTCCCATCTTTCGCGGGTGTTATGTCTGAGGTGAGGTGAGGTGAAATTGGGTTTAACGTCGTGCTTGAGAATATTTCGCTCATATGACGACGTGCATGCGTGTGTATGTGTATGTGCGGCTGCTTGTACTAGCCCAGACTGAAGCTGGTTTTATAGTGCTAGCCCCACTGAGATACCATGCCGCAGTGAAGCATGAATACCCCACTCAGACACATTATACTGACTCCGAGCCGACCAGTCCTTGTTGTACCCATTAATGCCGAGCGCCAGGCAGGGACCAACAAGTACCATATTTTAACGTCTTTTGGTATTACGCGGCCGGGGATCGAACCCGCGACCTTCCGCTCTCCGGGCGGACGCTCTAACCACTACACCACGGAGGCGGTCGTTATGCCTGAGCCTGGGCCCTCAAAGCGACATCCATCGTACCTAAAACTTAATATCAAATGTTTATTTTATGACAATACTACCCTCATTCCTAATTAATTACATTATCACCTATTTCAGTGTTGTATGTTACTTCAATAAATTCGATATTTATTTATAAACTCTATATAGCTTTATCGTGATATCTGTACTTTTAATGTATATGACATTGTAGTTCGTAAGATTTGTACCATGACCCTTAGGTATGTTCGATCAAGACATTTGTTTTTATTTATCAAGTCTTTAATTGGAGGATAAAGGTGACGGAAAGGGTGACAAGGTCTGAGCAGCATCAGTTGACAGTCACCTGTTTTTTACGGACAGTTTAATAATGTCTAGGGACTGATCTAATTAATTTGGATTTTATGTAAAGTGAGTGAGTGAGTTGGGTTTAACGCCGCTTTTAGCAATATTCCAGCAATATCACGGCGGTTTATGTAGAGACGACCTTTACCGGATGCATTCCCATGGAAGAAAGGCATGACATCCCCGAGGAATTATACGTTTTTTTCAGAACAATCATCATGGAAAGGTTTAAAGTGTGGCATTTCTGTTTCAGAGTATCGGAACTCTGTCGGTCCGGGTGGAGTGATTCTACCCAATCAACCACCAGTAAAAGATGAGGCAAGTTGTTTGAAATGATGAAATGTTGATGTTGATGCTTTAACCCTGATCAAAGCGTTTTGAGCAGTTTTTACTTCTCTTAGTCTCTTTTATTTGGTTTTCTAGTTATACCTTAGTTTATTAGATAATAGAAAGTTTAGATGCGATTTTAAATTTGAACCCAGTATACATTGAAACAGACTTATTGCTCCATATACTGTTCAGTGTGTAGAGGCAACCGATCGATTTGTTCATATCAGTATATGTTCTATATCGTCATGCTGGTAATTACTTTCAGTGAGTGAGTTTTGGTTTTAGGCCGCTTCTTATAATATTCCAGCAATATCACGGCAGGGAACACCAGAAATGGGCATCACACATTGTACCATTTGCTTTGCAGTATCCGGGCGGTGGGGTAGCCTAGTGGTTAAAGCGTTGGCTCGTCACGCCGAAGACCCGGGTTCGAATCCCCACATGGGTGCAATGTGTGAAGCCCATTTCTGGTGTCCCCCGCCCCGATGTTGCTGGAATATTGCTAAAAGCGGCGTAAAACCAAACTCAGTCAGTCAGTCAGTAGTTTCAGTATCAACGTTGAATGATGATAATATTAGTATGAATATACAACGTTTCTATTCTGTGGAAGCGGACGTTTTGACATAGATTGTGTTGTCGTTGTCAAGCAAGTGCTACATGAGAAAATATACGTGTATATACATGAGTTGTGTACAACTCTTTATTCTGTGAAAGGCGACCATTCACATGTATATATTCTCTCAATTTTTTCTCATGTATCACTTCCTTGACAACGACATTAGAATCAATGTCAAAACGTCGCCTATCACAGAATAAAGAAGTTATATATCCATGAAAATATTATCATCATTCTTCATTCTTCAACTTCTAAAATGCCCATCAAAGAAGTACCAATGTAATTGAACGATCTATTTCCTTTGTTTATAAGGATAGTGTAATTTGGGTTTGTTTACACCTGTATCGGGTAATGGTGTGGGTTTGTTTACACCTGTATGGGGTAATGGTATGGGTTTGTTTACACCTGTAACGGGTAATGATGTGGGTTTGTTTACACCTGTATGGGGTAATGATGTGGGTTTGTTTACACCTGTATGGGGTAATGGTGTGGGTTTGTTTACACCTGTATGGGGTAATGATGTTGGTTTGTTTACACCTGTATGGGGTAATGATGTGGGTCTGTTTACACCTGTATGGGGTAATGATGTGGGTTTGTTTACACCTGTATGGGGTAATGATGTGGGTTTGTTTACACCTGTATGGGGTAATGAGTGGGTCTGTTTACACCTGTATGGGGTAATGATGTGGGTTTGTTTACACCTGTATGGGGTAATGATGTTGGTTTGTTTACACCTGTATGGGGTAATGATGTGGGTCTGTTTACACCTGTATGGGGTAATGATGTGGGTTTGTTTACACCTGTATGGGGTAATGATGTGGGTCTGTTTACACCTGTATGGGGTAATGATGTGGGTCTGTTTACACCTGTATGGGGTAATGATGTGGGTTTGTTTACACCTGTGTGGGGTAATGATGTGGGTTTGTTTACACCTGTATGGGGTAATGATGTGGGTTTGTTTACACCTGTATGGGGTAATGATGTGTAAACAAGCTACCTACCAACTCCTGTATCGGATATCAATATAACCTGAAACACCGAATAAGCTCGTACAGCTGTTATAATCGCTTTTAGATACTCTGTCTTGGTATCAACATCTCATACAGAACCTTTCAAACTTTCAGGCTGATCCTTCCATCCCCTTCATTGACGCTTCTGAGGATGAACTGGAGGGTCATTCCACCCCAGCTAAGTCCCTCTTTTCCGGGAACCTGTCCAAGGTTGGGGAGGTGGCGTCTGACGTCAAGGTGTCTGTAGAAGCAGCAGCTGCAGCTGGGGTGCAGGAGGTCTCAGATAAAGCAGCTTCAGAGGCAGAAGCTGCAGAGGCAGCTTTTGAATCTGCCAAAGAAAAAGCCAAGGAGAAATTGACAGAGCTGAAGCAAAATGTTGCGGAAATCAGCCCTGTGACGGTGGCTCAAGTCCAGTCTGTGTTTTCTGGAAACGACTCCGCTACCGGAGACACCAACGGGGAACTGGCAGTTGTGAAGGAAGATGCAATTGAGGAGAAAGCCGGAGGTCTTGTGGACGAGGTGATGAAGAGCGTTGAAGACAAAACAGCTAATGAGAGTCTCGTAGACGATGTCTTGAAAGCTGCCATGCCGGAGGTGGTCACCCAGGATGACGAATCAGAACCGTCTTCAACCGTTGATGCCGTGAAACAGAAAGCAAGCGAAACGCTTGACTCTGCCGTTTCCTTCGGCAAGGAAGCACTTCCGTCAACTGATGCTGTCCAGGAGACTGTCCAGGAGACTGTTCAGGAGACTGTCCAGAACGGAGTGTCATCCTTGCAGTCTTTTGTAGAACAGGCCAAAGGTGGTACGTGATTTAAACTAGGCCATCGATCATTACCCATTACACGATCTCAACACTCGTAATCTGATTCCTATTTTGTGCACGACACAGATAAATTAACACTAGTTAGGTGATGAACAGGGCAGTGACACCTAAACGTAGCAGGGTGATAATAGGACTAGGCCGGGCCTGAAATGACTCGATGACTGCCTTCACAATACTCTATCATATCGTAATTCCATACATAATGGTCCAAACTGGCTACAGCCTTTTAGGACGATTTCCTGAATGATGCATGTGAATGAGGGAAAGGCTATCTCGAGAGGGGCGGTGGGGTAGCCTAATGGTTAAAGCGTTGGCTCGTCACGCTGAAGATCCGGGTTCGAATCCCCACATGGGCACAATGTGTGAAGCCCATTTCTGGTGTCCCCCGCCGTGATGTTGCTGGAATATTGCTAAAAGCGGCGTAAAACCAAACTCAGTCAGTCAGTCAGTCGAGTTGTAAGCAGTTAGCGGTCACGTAATGCTGTAGGATATACCGCCATGAGGTTTGTTAAGTATTGATATTGACGTAAACAGTAAATTGGCAACCGCTGGATATTGGATTAGGTTCATTGTTGCCTGTTTACCCTAAGAAGTGTTACTTAGATTAGATGTCCCTTTGTAGGAGTTGCCTCGCTTAGCGAGGTCAGGACAAAAGCAATAGTTAGCTTTAGTGTTTCATAACCAGGTGTTCGCTTCCTCGTGTTGTAACTGTCTACAATTAGTCAGTGGTTCGATCCCTGACCGCAGGATACCCAAAATCGTTAACAGATGGTACTTGTTGATGCCCTGGCTGGCTTGTCGACTCGAAGTCAACATAATGTGTCTGAGTGTGGTCCCCCGGTGGTCAGCACTGCTAATAATCCGGGCTGGTACAGGGACCAACCCACAAGTTCATCTTGATCTCTGTATAAGTGAAATACCCTTGACGTAACTGATGGGTATTTTGACAGTGACGATATGTTTGTTTACTACAGAGTTCACGGGCTTCCGGTCGTCCTTGCTGGGCAAAACAGAAGACGCCGCTAGCCAGGAGCAGATAACCAAGACCAGCGAGTCTGTTGGGTACATATACTCTCCGCAGGTCTCAGGTGTTGGGTTCAGGGTCGGGGACAAGTACATCATGACAGCATACAACCTCATCAGAGACATCATCGGTGAGTAACGTCTCGCATACCGTGAAGATTTGGGATAGATTTGCTCTTCAGCATGCAATGCTTGTCAGGCGACTACAAGGTCAGACTCGCTGACTTGATAGCCACATGTCATCATATCCCAATTGCATATATATATATATCGAATCTCGTCCACACTGCTCGATGATTTACAGACCGCCGCCATACAGCTGTAATATTGCTGAGTGCGTCAAACAACAAACATAACGTCATGCACATCAGAGACATCATCGGTAGATAACGTCACACACATCAGCTACATCATCGGTCGGTAACGTCACGCACCTTAGCGACATCATCGGTAGGTAACGTCACGCACACTTTAACGACATCATCGGTAGGTAACGTCACGCACCTTAGCAATATCATCAGTAGGTAACGTAACACACATCAGCTACATCATCGGTATGTAACGTCACACACATCATAGACATCATCGGGAAGTAACGTCATGTATTTCAGAGACATCCCCGATAAAAATGGAAAGAGCACCTTCAGGAAGTATCCTTTTTACTGCAGATGATCAAATTTGACCATGTTGTTACAGTCAGGGTAAGCTCCGGCAGTAAGATGACGATATTTAGTCTATTTAGCAAGCAGCGAACATCAACTAAATAAACGTACAGATGTGGTACTTGAAGAGCTATGGACGTGTTCCAGATTTGTTGGCTTGATCGTGCTGAATGTGACTGTGGCTGGAGTGTTGTCAGGTGTGTTGTTGGAATGACACTGAAGTGGACGTAAAATCTCTGTTTCTCTGTTACAGCTAATATGGGGACCTCAGAACAACAAATGTTCAACAACAAGGAAATCTGGATTCAATTTGAATACCTCCAAATGGGGGAATATGAATTCGACAACCTGACCAGATTCAAGTTTGTCGCCATGCCCTATACAAACCCAGACCTGGACGTGGCCATCCTGGAACTAGAAAGTCACGAAATGAAGACCTTGCCGCCGCCTCTTGCCAGTTTCTCCGTCATCAGCGAGCATGGGAAAGTGGAGTTTGTTAGCCACGATGGTAACCCAACCAAGAGACGAGACCCGTCCAGCCTTGCTGCTCATCCAACGGACACCGAGGTTGAGAATGCGGTGGAATGGGCTCGCGGTAAGCGCTACCCAGGCACTGGCTTCCAGGGCCTGTCTGACCCAAACAAGCTCCAGTTCCATGGGCCTCTTCATCAGTGTACATCCGGGTCCCCAGGTGTAGTTGTTGATGGTAATGAGCTTTATGTTGTTGCTTTCCTGACAAAGTCCTTCCCGAACTTCTACTGGAACCTGGAGATTGATGAGCGGGAGAGTATCCCGGAAGGTTACCTCCTGGATGAAGCGGTCAGCACCTCGGCTGTGTACTTGCACCTCAAGGAACAGGAGCGCCTGTCTGAACTCTGTAATAATATCTTTGGTCACCCTGTTGAAAAGCAGTCGTGAAGATAGAGCATCCGAGGTAAATCATATATCCTATATTGTACGAAGACACGATGGGTTTTAATCGCGATGAGCTCAGAATCCAGCGACTAGGACAATATTTTCCGTGGTATATTTTTCTGCTGAAACCTTCTAAAATGTACGAAAACATATATATTACACACTCAAAGTATGTAACTCGGTATAGTTTTCGAATCTAGAATATCCATGCATGCTCAAATCAGGTTGTAATACAGCTACATTATGTATTTACAAAATGTCCACTTGTTGGAATTGTATTCAGCATCAGGTAAATTTGTTTTATCAATAATACAATCAAGAACTCTCACATTACATACATTTTTTCAGTGACTCGGCTTTGCAAATGCTTCCAAACACGTACTAATGGTACTAATTTGCATGTAGCTGTTTTCGGATACCATCGCAAGCGTTTATTCCATGGCTCATTGATGACTTTTCTTGAGAGGTATATGAGCATCTTTTTGTCGAAGATATATATACTGTCAACCTCATGGTGCATACACTGTAATCAACGGAAGATATAGACATAAAGGATATCGATAGAAAAATCAAATTGTTTTAACTGGGCATCGCCTGTACGACATGAGCCTCTATTACCAGTTCCTCCATCGGTAAGACTTGCTAAGGGTCTTTATAAAAGCCCTCGTTGATTGATAAAGCACCAGTAATCAATATTGACCCAAGATTAAAGTCTTGTTATGTAAATATGGAATGTGTTCTTTCTGTTATGAAAGATACGTCTTTTTATATTTTGAGATATATTTTAGAATATATTTTGTTTTAAGGACTATTCTACTACGAACGTTTTAGTGCTTTGACTTTGGTTCAGTTACAAATATTTATCCAATCTTCGTGCAATAAGTGATGATTTTTTTGTTAATTTAACGAACCTTGGTCATCGTGTATATTTGGTATTTGTGCCAATATCCTGATGTTTCGTCAGTGTATTGTGTTTATCTGAAATAGTTTCACGGTTGTGGCTTCATATTTCGTGTCGTGTTTCACATAGCCATACCACTTGCCAAACACAGAACGTCATGCTGAACTATTTTATTATAAATCGTATGAAATTACTGTTATTGATGTAACCTACATCACACTGGCGTTGACAATATGTATAGCAACGAAGTCGCACGTTTACATTACATGTACCATACTGTTAGTGAAATTATGACAGTATGCTGTCGCTATGGCAACAATGGTTTATTACAGACGAGTTACCTCATCAACTTAGAGATATATATAAATGTTTTAAAGTTTGGAATAAGCGATTCCTACATATATTTTAATATAAATGATGTACATATTCGTAAAGCTTCGATTATCCAGTGTATAATATCCCATTTCTGTTATGATAAATACCGGGCCTATTTACCTGCAGAACATTGAACACAATTAGAGTACCACGACGGTAAATATAGCTGTCCAGTCACTCTCTCGTGAGTGAAGGACATTTTGCACTTAGTGATAAACTAAATGCAGATTGTGACGTCACTTCCGAAACAATTCTGTGGAGGAGAAAGGTCCTCGCTAATTATGTAAATAGGATGGAGACATCATTCACAGGATATCGAGGCTAATATTGGTAGTAATAGAAGGTTTGAACTCGTGTATTGCGCATACGCGGAAACCTCGTCAACTCGACTCTTCAACTGCAATTATGATTGTGTAACCAATCACAATGGCACTCTACGTTTCTTGAGCCTGGGCTTACTCGATTGATTCGACCACCCCGAAGACTTCGAGTTAAGGAGTTTCAATTTAGTGACAACCAAGGTAGTTTAGCGCTTAATGTCGATAATCTTTCAGATTACGATCTGGCTTTGTCAAGAACTAAAGAGTAAACGATTTCGTTTTCAAGCAAGATTACCATTTTCGTTTCATGTCTTAGTTCAGCGTCAACATACGAGTCTAATAGCTTACGTTCTGTCTACTCATGACGTCATCAGTCCTGGTTCATGTGAGCTTCGAGTCCATTTTGTCACGTAACAAGTCCATCTATCAAACCATCAGACAATAGACATTACCATAATTGTAATACAAGCATAATTAGATACAATGCCATCGAAAGAGGCCAAGGATTACAATACAATTGCACCTTGTCCGAACCTCGCAACAACGGACACACTTATTCCGGACATGTAGAATTGGGAACAAATATTTTGTAATTTTTAGTATCCTCACGAAGAGTGTCTGTGCCTGTAAGCACGCATGTAAGCATGTAAGCGTGGAACCACGTGACTGTTCCAAGGGACTCGCAGTTCTGTTTTCTTTAGTTGTTAGTATTGATATGGCAGCACCGTTCATGTGACAATTTGTATGTACCTTTTAATACTCCTCTGCTTTTATCTTGGTAATGGACTAGCAGCTGTTGTTTTGTTTTGTTTTTTCTAGATTGTTGTGTACATACACGATCACATGTTACATCTGTTGCATCAGTTTGATTTTGATATGCCTTTTTGCTTATTGATTATTTACAGTAGACAACTGTGTTATTGTGTATTGAAGTAACGTGGGGCCAAGTGGTTTTGGGTAACAAGAGATGTCTTACTGAATTGTATAGAGACGGCGATGTTGCAGTTTTCGTAAACCGTCAATTATCCGTGGCAACAGGTTCCAATGGGCTTTGATCACTGGCAGTTAGAGATGGCACTGGGTGTCTCCTAGAGACAAACACGCCCTGCTCTACCGCTGTCACCAGGTACTTGTGAAAGGAAAAGCTCACCATACTTTACGATAGCACCGTCACTCAACAGAAACGCAATTCCTTTAGAATCGCACTGATCAGATACTAGTGGTCCACTTCCGGTTTAGTGCTGTGACTGTCGTGTCACTAGCATATGGAAGCTCTACGGTTGATACGTGGGATCAGTCCCAGTGGTCTAGACGTATGGGTAATGCATGCGGACTGGGAATGCATTTTCCGAAAATTGTTTCTCAATAAATTGTTCTCCTTCTCCAAATCAATATATCAGATTCGACAGTCAATGGAGAGCGTTCAGTGTGACGAATAGGACCATATTTTGCCTTCACGTCTTACGCCCACCATGGACTCGTGGAATTCCCTCTCCCCTTAAGTCAGAATAATGGTCTACACCCTAATCTATTCCTTGTTCACCGGAACCGTTGTTAGGTTATGTTATTGGTTTTATTCATTTGTCATGGAATTTGGAGAATTGTTGTGTTTGCTTTGAAAATCTTTTGCAGCTTCGCTATCCAAAAACTAGACAGCTTTCCACGTAGAGTGTTGCATACAATATACTAAACATTCTCTATGTATATATGGCACAGCAGAAACTCTATGGTATCTGTGGCAACAAGAGAAAATTGATTAGAGTTTTTAATTAGAATCGCTTTTGTAAAAGGAACAAAGTCTTTCATGGCAACTGGAGTGCAAAGACATTTTCTTTGGCATATTCATATTATTGACATGTGTGTACCCCATGTGTAACGATGTAATGGGAGAATTCTTTGAGGATTTTTTAATTCGTACTATACATAATAATGTTCAAGATACGCCTTTCGATTCATGTTGAGAATTTTTCAAAGTGATGGGTTACATGTTATGTTCAATAGTATATTAATTGAAATCCAGTACATGTAAATAAAAATGTAATTACGCAATCTAATTTGTCGGGTCTACAGGTGAAGATATTTGATTAAATATGTTTTAAAACCAAAAGTTATTTTTTGACCGTAATTGGTTATTCATTTACATAATGTTTTTTGTGATTCGTATTTCATATGAAAAGACTGATTGCATATTCGCATTTTTATATCATTGCTGCTCGATCGCAGTTTCTTTGTAACATGACACATAGATGAATAAATTTGTAAAGCTATTGTATAAGATACCTGTATTCATTTCCAACAAGAGTTACTTGCTCAGGGAGTCTATTGAGTGAGTGAGTGACGGTTTAATGCCGCTTACAGCAGCAGCCAGTAATATCGCGCAGGGGGACACCAGAAATGGGATTCACACATTGCACCCATGGGAGAATCGAACCCGGGTCTTCTGCGTGACGAGCGAACACATTAACCACTGAGCTACCCCGCTGCCCCTGAGAGATGTGCACTGTAATTATGGGGGTAGGAAATACTCACGGATGTGAGTTGTCCCACCAGGATTGTTCTCGCCATGGATGGAATGTGGGTCGGTGGCTTTGGACTCACTGAACATGCATCATCAGACATTCACCTCTTGCCTAACTTCTAGAAAGAAACAATTGACAGGCATCACGCACAAAGTGGTGACATCATTTCGCAGTGTTTGGACCACGTTGAGAATTGTTGAAATCAATCTCTCACCAACTCATCCATTATGTTATTCTTCAGCCACCTCCGTTTCTTTTAAAATCTACAGGGCTACAGGGTGAGAGCCACGGGAATGGATCCAAGGGTTGTGTAGGTTTACCGAAATCCCTGGAGATATGGAAGACGGAGAGGGCTATAGGGTGAGAGCCACGGGAATGGATCCAAGGATTGTGTAGGTTGACAGAAATCCCTGGAGATATGGAAGACGGAGAGGGCTATAGGGTGAGAGCCACGGGAATGGATCCAAGAGTTGTGGAGGTTTACAGAAATCCCTGGAGATATGGAAGACGGAGAGGGCTATAGGGTAAGAGCCACGGGAATGGATCCAAGTGTTGTGTAGGTTTACCGAAATCCCTAGAGATATGGAAGACGGAGAGGGCTATAGGGTAAGAGCCACGGGAATGGATCCAAGAGTTGTGGAGGTTTACCGAAATCCCTGGAGATATGGAAGACGGAGAGGGCTATAGGGTGAGAGCCACGGGAATGGATCCAAGGGTTGTGGAGGTTTACCGAAATCCCTGGAGATGTGGAAGACAGAGAGTGCTATAGGGTAAGAGCCACGGGAATGGATCCAAGGATTATCCTAGAGATATGGAAGATGGAGAGGGCTATAGGCATTCTCTTCCCACAGAGATTACTTGTCATATCTTCCTACGAACCTCTTTTCTAATACGGCCACATTTCCCGGCTCTCATAAAATCCCCTAGCGGCACAAAATCGCAACACAAATTGTCTCCCTTCTTTCTATCCAATCAGAACACGTGTTAGATCGACTTAGATCGAACTTGACTAATACAAGCAAATGTGGGGCCACAAATATCCCTCCTCAGCCGTGGACTTGTCTTGATGTGACACACAAGATATTTAATGGCTAGCTTAACGAGGGCGATTGAAACGCCATTGATCCGCTATTTACATGACTGAGTTCTGTCTTTAAGACACGTTTGCGCATTGCGCAGGTGAAGAGGTTCTAGTTTTCCCGAAGCATACGGAAATTACCGAGGCCTTGCGAATGATCACTTTTGAAACAACGTCGCTGATTGCACAACTAAATCTGATTGCAACCAATCATGAATTCTAAACACTCGTACCATGAAAGGGCCGTATTAGAACAGAGGTTCGTAGGAAGATATGACAAGTAATCTCTGTGGGAAGAGAATGGGCTATAGGGTATGAGCCACGGGAATGGATCCAAGTGCTAGTGTAGGTTGACCGAAATCCCTGGAGATATGGAAGACGGACAGGGCTATAGGGTAAGAGCCACGGGAATGGATCCAAGGGTTGTGGAGGTTTACCGAAATCCCTAGAGATATGGAAGACGGAGAGGGCTATAGGCATTCTCTTCCCACAGAGATTACTTGTCATATCTTCCTACGAACCTCTTTTCTAATACGGCCACATTTCCCGGTTCTCATAAAATCCCCTAGCGGCACAAAATCGCAACACAAATTGTCTCCCTTCTTTCTATCCAATCAGAACACGTGTTAGATCGACTTAGATCGAACTTGACTAATACAAGCAAATGTGGGGCCACAAATATCCCTCCTCAGCCGTGGACTTGTCTTGATGTGACACACAAGATATTTAATGGCTAGCTTAACGAGGGCGATTGAAACGCCATTGATCCGCTATTTACATGACTGAGTTCTGTCTTTAAGACACGTTAGCGCATTGCGCAGATGAAGAGGTTCTAGTTTTCCCGAAGCATACGGAAATTACCGAGGCCTTGCGAATGATCACTTTTGAAACAACGTCGCTGATTGCACAACTAAATCTGATTGCAACCAATCATGAATTCTAAACACTCGTACCATGAAAGGGCCATATTAGAACAGAGGTTCGTAGGAAGATATGACAAGTAATCTCTGTGGGAAGAGAATGGGCTATAGGGTATGAGCCACGGGAATGGATCCAAGTGCTAGTGTAGGTTGACCGAAATCCCTGGAGATATGGAAGACGGAGAGGGCTATAGGGTGAGAGCCACGGGAATGGATCCGAGGGTAATGGAGGTTTACCGAAATCCCTAGAGATATGGAAGACGGAGAGGGCTATAGGGTGAGAGCCACGGGAATGGATCCAAGAGTTGTGTAGGTTTACCGGAATCCCTAGAGATATGGAAGACGGAGAGGGCTATAGGGTGAGAGCCACGGGAATGGATCCAAGTGTAGGTGTACCGAAAGGTTTACATAGGAAATCCCTGGAGATATGAAGATATGGAAGACGGAGAGGGCTATAGGGTGAGAGCCACGGGAATGGATCCAAGGGTTTGTGTAGGTTTACCGAAATCCCTGGAGATATGGAAGACGGAGAGGGCTATAGGGTGAGAGCCACGGGAATGGATCCAAGTGTTGTGTAGGTTTACCGAAATCCCTGGAGATATGGAAGACGGAGAGGGCTATAGGGTGAGAGCCACGGGAATGGATCCAAGGGTTGTGTAGGTTTACCGAAATCCCTGGAGATATGGAAGACGGAGAGGGCTATAGGGTGAGAGCCACGGGAATGGATCCAAGAGTTGTGTAGGTTTACCGGAATCCCTGGAGATATGGAAGACGGAGAGGGCTATAGGGTGAGAGCCACGGGAATGGATCCAAGGGTTGTGTAGGTTTACCGAAATCCCTGGAGATATGGAAGACGGAGAGGGCTATAGGGTGAGAGCCACGGGAATGGATCCAAGGGTTGTGTAGGTTTACCGAAATCCCTGGAGATATGGAAGACGGAGAGGGCTATAGGGTGAGAGCCACGGGAATGGATCCAAGAGTTGTGTAGGTTTACCGAAATCCCTGGAGATATGGAAGACGGAGAGGGCTATAGGGTGAGAGCCACGGGAATGGATCCAAGGGCTAGTGGGTTTACCGAAATCCCTGAAGACATGGAAGACGGAGAGGGCTATAGGGTGAGAGCCACGGGAATGGATCCAAGGGTTGTGTAGGTTTACCGAAATCCCTGGAGATATGGAAGACGGAGAGGGCTATATAGGGTGAGAGCCACGGGAATGGATCCAAGAGTTGTGTAGGTTTACCAGAAATCCCTGGAGATATGGAAGACGGAGAGGGGCTATAGGGTGAGAGCCACGGGAATGGATCCAGTGGTTGTGTAGGTTTACCGAAATCCCTGGAGATATGGAAGACGGAGAGGGCTATAGGGTGAGAGCCACGGGAATGGATCCAAGAGTTGTGTAGGTTTACCGAAATCCCTGGAGATATGGAAGACGGAGAGGGCTATAGGGTGAGAGCCACGGGAATGGATCCAAGGGTTGTGTAGGTTTACCGGAAATCCCTAGAGATATGGAAGACGGAGAGGGCTATAGGGTGAGAGCCACGGGAATGGATCCAAGGGTTGTGTAGGGTTTACCGAAATCCCTAGAGATATGGAAGACGGAGAGGGCTATAGGGTGAGAGCCACGGGAATGGATCCAAAGCTAGAGTTGTGTAGGTTTACCGAAATCCCTGGAGATATGGAAGACGGAGAGGGCTATAGGGTGAGAGCCACGGGAATGGATCCAAGAGTTGTGTAGGTTTACCGAAATCCCTAGAGATATGGAAGACGGAGAGGGCTATAGGGTGAGAGCCACGGGAATGGATCCAAGAGTTGTGTAGGTTTACCGAAATCCCTAGAGATATGGAAGACGGAGAGGGCTATAGGGTAAGAGCCACGGGAATGGATCCAAGTGGTTGTGTAGGTTTACCGAAATCCCTGGAGATATGGAAGACGGAGAGGGCTATAGGGTGAGAGCCACAGGAATGGATCCAAGGGTTGTGTAGGTTTACCAGAAATCCCTGGAGATATGGAAGACGGAGAGGGCTATAGGGTGAGAGCCACGGAATGGATCCAAGAGTTGTGTAGGTTTACCGGAATCCCTGGAGATATGGAAGACGGAGAGGGCTATAGGGTAAGAGCCACGGGAATGGATCCAAGAGTTGTGTAGGTTTACCGGAATCCCTAGAGATATGGAAGACGGAGAGGGCTATAGGGTGAGAGCCACGGGAATGGATCAAGGGTTGTGTGGGGTTTACCGAAATCCCTGGAGATATGGAAGACGGAGAGGGCTATAGGGTGAGAGCCACGGGAATGGATCCAAGGGTTGTGTAGGTTTACCGAAATCCCTGGAGATATGGAAGACGGAGAGGGCTATAGGGTGAGAGCCACGGGAATGGATCCAAGAGTTGTGGAGGTTTACCGGAAATCCCTGGAGATATGGAAGACGGAGAGGGCTATAGGGTGAGAGCCACGGGAATGGATCCAAGGGTTGTGTAGGTTTACCGAAATCCCTGGAGATATGGAAGACGGAGAGGGCTATAGGGTGAGAGCCACGGGAATGGATCCAAGAGTTGTGTAGGTTTACCGAAATCCCTGGAGATATGGAAGACGGAGAGGGCTATAGGGTGAGAGCCACGGGAATGGATCCAAGGGTTGTCAAAGACACGAAATCCCTGGAGATATGGAAGACACCATGGTTACCAATTGCAATGTTATGGCTGCTTTATCAATGAAAAACTGGTAAACGTATGATGTAAAACAAATTTCCCTTT